TAAAAGAAGGTTCTGATTTTAATACAGAGACCACTTGGGCCATGAACTTCACTGTCAGTACAGTGAGCTTTAAAATGCATGAAGAGCAACAAACACACATTGCTTTCTTCCACTGAAATTACCAAACCTTATCAAAGTGTTCCTGGTGGACAGAGATCTCTTATAGGTCTTTAAAATTTGAGAATATAACCAAACCACTGAGAATCATCCTTAAATACATTGATGAAAGAAAAGCTCATAGTCCGAATGCCCCCAAAGGCTAGATACACTGTTAAGGATGATAATGTGAGCTTCCTCACAGCAACCTGGCAATGACCTCTGCTTTGACCTGTAGAGACCCATGTCTCAAGAGGTAAAAGACAATTTAGTTCTTTATCCTTCATAACTGAAATTATTCCAGTGCCATAAATTCTAATCAAGGCAACTCCAATTTAAAAAACAAACAAACAACAACAACAACAAAGAAAAATATAACATATGTTTCTTTACAGAGTAATACAAGGGATCTACTAACAAAACATAATCAGCTAGAAACAACTTCTACCCTGTTTCTCTGCAGCATGTATGGCTATACATAAAGATGCACACAGTTCTGAAACATGGGTAACAAAATGGGAAAGGAAAATAAAATCCCAAAGCCAACACAGGGGTTTGAAAACAAAACCTTGTTTATGTATATGTGTGCAGATTCATTTAACTTCCATAACCCTGCTCCATATTTCAAGCATTACACAGCATTATGAAAAGATCAAAAGCCTGCTAATGAACCAAAGAAAACCAGAGTCTTCAGATCCAGCCAAGGAATCCTAAGATTTAATTTCGCTGGAACAAAACCTTGCCAGCAAAGTGGAAAAAAAAAAAAAGGTTAGCAGTCAATTTTTTTTTGCTGTCCAGCAATAATTAAATAGGAAACACTTGTGCTCCACAATTATAGGCTTAGTATTGCCCTCACTATATACTTACAGCTTTATTTGTTTTGATAAGTTTGATGCATAAAACTACAGACTCAATCTCAAAAAGCAGTAATAATACAGTAAAATTACCTTAATATCAGTGCAAGTGCACTCCCAGCATTTTTTAACCATCATCTAATTATGCCACAAATTACCATCAATAAAGGATTAATTAAAGACTGAATCTAACTCTAGGAAAGTCAGACTGAGTCCACAGGGGCTTCTGATGCTTGGACTAGCCACTTTGTTCTTGGGATTTTTACTGTACAGAGAATTTTATATGCGACACGCCCCTGGTGTCTATACCAACTTTTCAATCTCAACAGTTTATTACACAGATAAACGTGAAAGGAGTTCTTCTTATTCTAAGGATTTTTCAGAGCAGTACTTCATAATTTATACTAAACCTGTTTGAAAATATAGTATAAAATGGCAACTAGGATTCATTAATTTAGGATCAAATCCCAGGGTTCTTAATCAAGAGAAAATACTAGTTAACATTAACAAAAGCTTTCTATAGTTAGCACCGTGACATATGGCCTGGGTTGGTTACTGCTTTGAAGCATATTGCAGAGTAAGACAAGTTGATTCGAAAATGACACCACCTGGAATGTCAAGAGCCAGACTCAGTTTTTCTGTTTCTTAAATACATCCTATGGTTAAAATAGGAGATATTACTTCACAAATATTTTAAAGATTAAATAATATACTGCAAGATCTCCTGCAAAGCAACTTTGTTTCATACTGTACAGCAAAACTGCGATTCCTGTAACCAAAGCACTGTAGCTGTGCTAACTACACATTTCAAAACTGTACTTCTGAGTTAGTATGTTTCAGGATAAAGTCCTTTACCAATATTTTGCACTTCAGAAAGTATTATTGACTATTTTTTCTACTATTTTCTTGTTTCATATGACTTCAGTATCAAAAGTCTTTTGCATGCAGATATGCAGATTCCAAAAAGTCCAGCAGAAGTGGTATAAAAGCAGAAGTGGAGGATTACAGACCCCCAGACTACAGGACAGAATTCTCTTTCAAAAAGAAACAAATTAAAAAAAAAAAAAAACCCAAACAAAACAAACAAAAAACAAACTAAATCACCATAGCCAGGAGAAATAAAGCCAGCAAACAACAAGCAAGCACAGGCCCTTTAATCACAGCTGCTCCTGTCATTACTCACAGGTAACAACTGCACCACAGTGACAAAGTGCATCTTCCCAAACACCTGTACACCAGTTTCAGGTGGGAGCTATTTCAGATCATCAGCAACTACTTATGCTGGTATTTCTCATTTTCTTTGTCACCGATAGCAAAGCACCCAGAACAGAAACAAAAGTTTATCGTATCTTTTCAAAAATAACTACAATTAATTGTATTCCTGCCCTTCCCTCACTGGCATCAGGTACCAAAGAAGTGCCATTTTTACAATGCATTCCACTATTTGTTACCAAAGTAAAAAATAAATACCCACTGTTCCTATGGCATGCAGTGAAATATTAAAACAAGGAAGTCCACAAATAAGGAGGTGGATTTTAGGAAAAGGCACAGGTAAGCAATGCAGGTGTTTGCAGAAACTCATCCATCAAAAAAAGCTAAGCCGAATGTGTTCAGTAAAAGAGAATAAAGCTCTTCACATCTCATCATTCAACTCTGTTCATCTATGTGAAAACAAGGCTCATGAAATATTGCTAACATCAACAAGACACTCAAATGTTGGTCATTCATTCCAACTAAATCAGTACGCTATTTTCACAAATTTTTCAAAAAACATAAAAGCATCAATGTAGAAAAACTTTGTTCTCTGTGGACCTGTCTCATCTCCTTGACTTTCTAAAATGCTCCTCCCTCTCCTGCTTAACAGATTGGTCTATATTTATGTATCAGAACTTTAAACAAAATGACACATTTATTTTTAGTGTTTACTGCAAATCTGTCTCAAGAGATGCACCCGTGACATAATGGCTAATCATCTTTACTTTACATTTGCTCAATCTGATGCTCAAATTTATCAAAATAGACCCACTGTTCTTTATTTTTATGTTCTCAAAGTTACTAAAATGAATTCACAAGAGTTGCTGCTAATAGATCTGTAGTATCAGTCATAATTGTAACAAAATCTCAATAAATGGTTCATAAGTTCATGCTGAGGCAGTTGAACTATTTCTCCTACTTTTTTTACTTGGGAACACCTTTTTAGCAGAATAAGAACCAGGCTAGCAAACATCTCACACTCACCAATACAAAAAGCACAACATATTAATTTGTAGCTTTTTCAATAATGTTTTTAGGGACATAAATTATATTTTCAGTCCAGAAAGAGACAAGATATGGTTGCATATCATTTCTATATCACATACAGCAACTCTAATGAAAGTATCTGTGTATATTTCACTACCACTGTAGAACATCCAAATGACAATGGATAAAAAAATATCCTGCCCTTTATTAGAAGACTTGCCTGATCTAAAAACAGCAAACAGACATTTTCATTATTCCCAAATTAAAAGCCCATTTTTTGCTTTGTATATGCCTGGCTATATTTAATAGATGCATCCTAAACACTTGAGCAAATAAAACATAAACAGAGCTGAAGATATTTATACTACTCTGGACAACTAATAGCCCTCTGAATTTTAGACATTACAATTCTTTCCTGTATGAAATAGGCTAAAACAATTATTATATGCTTTTTGAACATTCAAACTGCTAATGGAAATTATGCTTTCCATGGAAACAATGATTACTAAGAGGGTGCTTAAAATGGATGTGATATTCAGTAATGGTCATTACTGCAATTGAGAAATTAAATTTTAGGATTTTTAATTATTATGATTTTCCCATATCTGTACTGAAGCTATTTAGTCAAACATTTTGTGCTGTATCTTTCAGTAATGGGTAAAGAACATTTTAATATAAAATTGCATGTATTCCTTTGTTTTAAAAAAAAATCTTGCAGCTGTTACTGTAGCTGGAATACTGAAATCTGAACACTCCTACAGATTTCCTTACAGATTATGAAATCAAAACTCAAAACTTGGAAAATGGGCTCTCACTCTCACTCCCTTAAAGCTGCATTCCCTTTAAACAAGATCATTTTGCCTTCAACTTCCACCCATAGAATAATGAAAAATAAGGAAAAGCTCCATTTCTATTAAGGTTTGTCTCAGTTCACAAATGGAAATAACTAAAAAGGACTCTTTCAGAAGTGCAGTCCCTCTAAACCCAAAATTTCACTATGTACCATACAGTGCTGCTCCAGCTCAGACATCTATCAACATCTATCACTCAAGCACGCACCTCAACAGCTCTGCTCCCTTTCCTGATTAGAGATCAGAGTTACTTGAGTTGGCTTACAGGGTGTCATCTGATTGAATGACAGATGTCTGTGTTGGAGTGCCACTCTTGCTGCTTTTGTTTTGATTGTGAAAGGTTACACTTATCTCGTACAATTCAGAATATTCAAAAATAAATAAAAATTGAAAAGGTAATTTCTCTTTCCACGGGGTTGAGAAGAAATATTTAATTTCTAATTTAAATTCCAAAAACCTTAGTTCTACATGCAATACCATCGCTAGTCTTTGTTTATTCAGTACAAAGTGTTTTCTATGAGAGTGTTTAGTTTCTCTTTAGTCAGTTTTATTTTTACTATTTAAAATTATAACTTTTCAGTTTAATCCAGCCTCAAAAGATCTGGTAGCATGTGAGACACACCAGCACCTAATGCAATAAATGTTAATTAAGTACTTGAAGAAAATGATCCCCATCTCTTATTTTACATTAGAGTCCATGGATCTGAAAAAAAGACAAAACATCTGCAACTTGCATAAAATATGCTCGTTGCTAACAAAAGTTTTCAGGACTGACACTGTCATTCTGGAAACGAGTTGCAACGGGAGCAGAAGGCTGTATGCTTGCATGCTCCAAGCTACTCCTTCTACTTAAAAGAAAATTGAGTGAACAGAAAAAAAAAAAAAAAAGAAGAACAGGGAGAGATTGCTCTTCCGGACAACATGGTAGCAGTGAAATGAAATACCTAGACAGACTTACCGAAGAGCTTGCTGGGAGTGTCCTCGCTGTCATTTGATTCCACAGGCGCAAGCAAGGGCTCATTCAGCTCGTTGTCTGAAGTAGCTGCCTTGTCCTCACCTCTCAACTCTGCATTCATTTCACTCCGCAGTGACAGCAAGGGCTTACTGACTTGTCCAGCTATCATTGGATCCTAGGATGGGGGAAAAAAAGAGTGAGGGGGAAAAAAAAGTGGCAGCTTTGGTGTACGTATACTGTCTCTTCCGCTCCCTCTCTTACACACACACACACATACACACTCACTCTCTCTCTCTCTCTCTCTCTCTCTCTCTCTCTCTTATCTCTGGCTGCTCCTGCTGTTATTGCTGGCTGCAGTCAAGTGAAGAGCTATTACAGATCCAATGAGTTTTCCATTACTCCCCACCCTATTAAAGCTCAACTAGCATGTGAGAGATTCAGGATGCTTTGGAGAAAAACTTCTAAGGAAGCAACATAACCAACACAGTTTTAATTGTGGGATGTGCTTTTTGTGTGTGTATGTTTTTACACCTCACCCTGTCCTTAACATAGTAAGAAAAGAAATTCCTATATGCTCCAATGCTACGGAAGAGGATCACCCTGTGAGGGCTCCATAGTGATTTAAAGAAGCATCCTCAACTGTACAACATTAACAAAATCAAATACACAGTTTTTAGTATTCCACCATATCTACGAAAATACACAGCATAAAATAGCCATTTCATTACATACATTCAACAGAGTGACAGATTTCTAACTATTCCTGTCTCTGGGATACTCTGCTCCAAAAGTCCATAAACACACAAACACACATTTTTCTTTTGAAAATAAAAACCACACAAAACATTTTCTAAAAGATAAAATCAGGGAAGATACTTACACACAAAGTTAGCAATTATTCTTGTGTTTGCGACATCATATCCCACATAAAACATTACACATACATATATACATTAAAATTTTTTCTTGATTATTTGAATTTGGTTTATCTTCCGCTCGTTGAGGACATTTGGGGGTCAGGCATTATTTCCAAGCACACTCAATTATTCCGTTTGTAAACTAATAAGCATAATATCATGACAGCATGGAAAGCAGAGTAAAAAAAAACTGAAAAAAAGAAAAAGAACAAGTGACCTTGTTGCTCTCTCTAGCAGCTATTTATTGCAAAGTTCATGCCTAAATGGTTCTTATGCAGAGAACAGGTGACCAGCAAGCAAGTAGGTTGGCTAGCATGTTCCCTCTGTCCCGTCCTCACATTGGTCGATGTTTGCCTATAGGTTTTTTAATGTATTCATGTCTGAAAAGTGAATTTGATATGACACATGATAATCTATGAAAATGTTAATCAATACAAATAGTTTAAGCTGTCATCAAATGCACTTCTTTAATCAATACTCATATTGCCGAAAACAATGTCACTGTCACCAGGGCTTAATTTGCACAGCACTTAAATATTGGACTCTGTGCATCAATGCACTCCTCTTCAAATACTGTAGGTAAACACATTTTCTCCCTATTTAAGGCTGAAGCACTCAGCACACATTTAGTTGAGCCGAATCCTCCCCTTTGAATACCTTGATAGGTCCACTGGAGGGCAAAATTAATACTTAATTGAATCTCAGAGTCATCAAAATAATCAATACTTTTTTATTATTTATTCTTTACAGTCTGTTGACTGTTTCAAACCTCTGAGGGAATGGTGGAAAGGATTCATGGCTTTGAAACACTGTCATTTAACAAGGTAATTTTCAGTGGGGCATTAGGGGTTGTGAAACATATAATAAAACAAAAATGGTGGCTTATAATGGGAAGAAAGAAAAGAATTATATTTCTGCCATCTAACAAAACAGGATAAATAAAAAAAGCAAGTGCGAGCAGGAGAGGGAGAAAGGAGGGGGAGAGGGAGAGAAAGACTGGCTTTTGAAGGGTTTTATCATATCAAGAGCAGAGCTGAGCTTTCATAATGCTGACATTTCTCATTCTGACAATCCTAAACAAGTGGAAAGGATGAGATCGCAGATATCATCTTTCATCACATTCCCCAGCTTAAGAACCAACATGACAGCTTCTCTCCCCTTTACACTGTTAATTACTAAATAAAATACTGCTCTCTGTCAGCATTAGATTATTGCAGATAGCAACCACAAACATTACTCCATTGTTTTGTTTTGCCTTTTTTTTAAAACCAGTGATACCTACCTTGAACTCTTCAGAAAATAAATTAGGCTTGTGTCTACATATTGTAAATATATGAAACATAATCAATTTAATCAATGTGGTCAATCCATGTTATTGTCAGGCTAAATTGCTGGTGATTTATTAACATTTCATTTACTGTATTTATTAGGCAGCAACAATCTGAACATTTCTTAGATGTTTCTGGAGAGGAAACAGAAGTCAACAGATTTCTTCTGCAGACACTGTAAAAAAACTCTGACTTGTTTTTACCTCATACTCATACTGCACTGTGGACAGTCATTTACTGAGGCAGAAACATTTGTTTGTTTACTTTCATATACTAAATAATGTATTTTAGCATATTTTGCAGTTAAAGGTCATTGTGAACACAAACAGCACTGTTTCGAAGTCTGTGCTGCTGCTCTCAGTTTCAGCTATTCAAAACTAACATCAAGATTTGATACTAACCTCCATAACAATTGTGAATCCAGAAAAAATTTGACCCTTTTCATCAAAGTAGTTTGGGGAGGAAACTAATCCTGTCCATGCAGCCGTACTCCTAATCTGAGAACTAACAGCAATTTAATAGTGGATGCTACATCAGTTGCCAAATTCTGAAGTTGAATATACAAAAAATGGGAGGAATAATAATGTAGGAAATGTGACAGCACTGGGAGAAACTTCAGCCCTTAGATATACAGCAACTTCAGTGGAGCTAAGATTTTACTTGTTATATATATCAATAATTTGGCCTCATCTGGAGTACTTTGTTCATTTCTGGTTAGCCCATCTCAGAACGATACATCAGAAAGAGGTGCAGTAAGATTGATAAACTGATGGAAAAGATTGTGAGCGTTTACAGAAAAGTGTGACTAAAAACAAGCATGATCAAAGGATAAAAGACGGCAGGGAGAAAATGTAGATCAGGAACTATTTACCCTACCTTATCTGAGGAGAAAAGGTGTCTCCACTGAAATGGGAAAAAGTCATAAATCTAATAATAATAAATGATACTTTTCCAAACAGTAAGTGGTGGAAAACCTGTGGAACTTGCTGCTGCAAGGTATCACTGAGACCCACACCACAGTAAACATCAACATAGTCAGTCGTATGGCTGAGCAGACTCTTAGCAGTGAATTTAAAAGAGTTTTGCAAACACAGAGGCAAGGACTATAAAAACTGAAATAACACAAACTGCTGCCGCCTCCCTCAGACAGTACCAGAACCTGTAGTTAACCCTCAGGGTAGCTCTCTCTGTAAGGTGGTAAATGAACAACAACTTTCCCTAAAAGCAGACAGATTAGGTACTGCCCAAATTTCTAGTCTACATGAAGACTAAATAAATCGCTTAAATGATGGGTTAAGGGAAGGTTTGTTTCCTTGAAAAACTTATTTTAAAGTGGACATTTTTAAACTTCAGGTTATCTCCAGACCTTCAATTGCTTTCTATGCCTGTTCTGCAGTGAATTATGCATGATTAAAAACTATTGCTTTTATAAAACATGTAATAAATTGTAATTCCAATGTACAGCAAGTGGCCTAGTCTGCAAAATCCCTTGGTGAACGGAGGTCTTCCCCAGAAAAAAATCCTACAGTAATTACTATGACTGCCATAGGCCCAGCAGTCTTCTCCTCTTCTGCTCTTCTACACGTCCATTCCAGAGAGGACTCAGAACACTGGAGCGGATACATTGAGGCAAGGAATTGCGTACACATCGTTTGTGGCTAATACTGTCAGGATCTGTTCTCCTGCACTAGATGTCTGTGGGCTTGATGCTCAGCATTTGCTTTTTGGAAGGTGTTATAGGTCAGATTACACTTTGCACTGTAACACAGGCCCTTCCACTGACTGACAGCCACACAAAAGTTTAAGCTTTTCATATGCAAAATGGAAAAGTCTAAGAATGCATAAAACCAGCAAGATGAACTTTGTGAAAAGGGTTAATACGCTTTAAGTAAGAGGCATGGGAACATAACAGGGATATAATGCTTCAGAATTTCAAAGTTCTAGTTATGAGAGAACTAAGGAATTGCAATCCCCTTATTCAAATATACCTATGTATACCAGACACGTACCGACAAATTTTGCACACACCTCTTGCAGATACTCATATAAGTTGTCATCTATTTCTTGTCCAACTAGCATGGTAATTCCAGATTTGTCTGTTTTCTATGAGATTTCCCTGACAGCTTTGTGCTGCAAGTGGTCCTCCCTGCTGTGTATCTCCCTTAAGGGTGGCTTATACCTTGTGTAATTCAGTTACAGTATCTGCTACACTACTGCTCAGCTCTACCACTCCCTTATGACTTAAACTGGCTGTTGGGCTTAATTTAATAGTAAAAATCATGTAGATTTGCAAATGCAAATTACAGTTCTAGTAACACACCGTCTTTTAAAAGTCAAAACTTTTACTTTTTTCTTATCTGCAGTGCTGTAGGAAGTACAGGAGAACATTTACCGCCATGTTAAAAGCTTTGCCTTTGCACTTTAAGGGTAAAGGTGCAGTTTCTAAGCAAAACTATTTAGTAATAAAAGAACTTCTAAAAAAAACTCTATGGGTTTTGTGTCAAACATGCCCTAGGCAGAAGCCTAAAAATAAAAGAATGAATTACTTTTTTCCTTAATGCAGGATTTGGGTGCTAATAGAGCTGTATAATATACTGATTTAGCCACTGGTCTAAATTTTGTACTTACTGCACCATAAACACTGGTGCTCTGAATGTAATTACTTTTTAAATTTTAGTTCAGAGAAAAAGTAAAATCCTTTGGTTCGCTTTTTATTTTGCCCTTAATTTGAAGTTACTTTGCATAGACTTCCTAGCTTAGAAGTACTTGAAATCAATTTTCTGATTTTCTTCAAAATATGAAATAAATCCTGTTTCTTCCATTCCTACCATGTCCCTCCCTCCCCTCCCACATCCCAATCCCGATCTTGTGCAGACTTCTGTTTGGGACATACACAGTGAATTTGTTTGACAGCAAACAGAAAAATTCTA